AAACAAAAAGGGTATGCAAGTAAGAGGTAGATTAGTTGGAAAGAGGAATGGATCATGAGTGGGAAGGGGACCAGAAAGGGCAATGGGAAGTGCAGATGATCAAAACACATTATAAAGAGGTCTGATATCATAATGAAACAAGTTATTACGCTGAAAAAGCTGTAGCACGGAGCACACAATAAGGGCATGTGTGTTACCAGATCTGGGAGACAAAGAAACTGAACCACAAAGTTTTTTAAAAAAGAGACAGTCTAAAAATCTTTGGGCATACTTAATAAGACTGAATAAAGTCTGAGATAGGCAGAAATATTAGTAGGAAGAAATATTAATGTGAAATCTTATAATAGGCATCCTGAACAGAAAACAGAGCCCTAAGGCTCTGCACACAGGAAGCACTGTTCATTAATGAACTGACAGAGTCCCTGAAAGTTTGCAAAGCAGGGCCTTGAACAATAACAAAAGACCCTGTCTTTCATATCTTCTGTTAGCTTTCCTTTATAGCTGTTTGTCTCCCAGATCTGATAACACACATACCCTATTGGGTGCTCCGTGCTACACAGTCACGACAGGCATAATTGTGTATGTACTCACAGACCACACTGCATTCTTTTTTCTTTGTTCTAGAAGGTTCCAACACAACACAGGCTTCCCGAAGGCTGCCAAGTATGATGGTAGACTGCACATCATCTAGAATTTGAGTCTATCAAGTTACTGCTATGGAGTTTAGTCAGGTCCCATGACCCAGATTTTTTTCATAGGGTATTTTACTATATTTACAATGCAGATAGTCTTCGGGAAGGGTTATGCTATAAGCAGGTTTGTAATGGGATGATCACTATATTTAGGAATTTATTTTGTCTTAACATTTCCAATATCAATAGCAACACAGTAATTCAACTGGTAGGATCCAGTCAACAGTCTTTCTTCTTAGTAGGAAGAAGTTCTATTGATGTGGCTACAGGAGCTTTGAACCTAAGGTAGATTACCTCCAAAATGGAGTTCATTTTAAATATGTCTCTGCTGACCTGAAAATGAGTATTTTACACAAATTTTACTAAAAAATGATAGCTATTTTAAGAGGGCAGTGAAAATTTCAATCTTTGAAATATGAAGTCTTAGGTCAAGTAAAGTAGGAAGTCTGGATAAACAGTCGTAACAAAAACACGACTAACGAGATGGCATGGCGTGCTCTGCCAAAATATCCCAGTTGATGCTTAAGCTCCTATTTCCCTCTGAAACTACTTAACTCTTAGCACTACTTTCTTCCAGACTCCTACTAGATGGCCTGTTAAGCTCTACTTAGAGCATTCAACTTCTTTTCTACTCCAAACTTCCAAAGTCTTCCAAGTTCCTCTATACCTACACAGTCAGGTACCAATTCTCAGTACCAACATCTGTATTAGCTCCTTTTCTGTTGTGATAAAACACCATGACCAAGGTAACTTATAGCAGGAAGAGTTTATTTGGCTTACGGTTCCTGAAGGAGTCCATGATGGTGGAGGAGGCATGGCAGAGCAGAAAGCCAAGTGATCACATCTTCAAGGAAGCACCAGAAGCAGAGTGAAACTGGAAATCTGGCAAGGTTTAATAACTCTCCAAGCCCAGCCCCAAGTGGCATACTTCCTTGAGCACAGTCACATCTCCTCAAGGTTCCAATGCCCTCCCCAAACAGCACAATGAACTGGGGCCCAAGTGTCCAAATACCTGGAGCCTATGGGGGGACACTCATTCAAATCACAATACTCTATGAATATTTCTGTACAAATGTTTATGCTTGGCAATGACATTTTCTTAGGTATGTGCCTAACTATAGCTTTGCTGGGCTAAAGAGCAAAACAATGTTTAACTTTTCTGTTGCTGTTTTGAGACAGGGTCTCTCACTCTGTAGTCTTGGCAGGCCTAGAACTCACCATGTAGACCAGGCTAGCCCCAAACTCAAAGAAATTAGCATGCCTCTATCTCTGAAAAGCTGATATTAAAGGCCTATGCCACCACACCCAGCCCAATGTTCAATATTTTTAAAACCTGCCAAATCGTTTTAGTTGCATCATTTTATATTCTTAACAAAGTAGAGGGTTCCAATTTCTCTATAACTTTATTCATACAAGTACATTGGCTAGGGCTTTTTAATTGGGAAAGCTATTGTTACTTCCTCTGGTCCCTTTGCTTTTGTGTGTGTGTGTGTGTGTGTGTGTGTGTGTGTTTATGGGTGGGTGTGTTTGCCCATGTGGGTGAATATATAGGTGAGAGGTTGATGCTGGGATATCCTCGGCAATCACCTACATCACCTTATACTTGGAGATGTGGTTGATCACTGAACCTGGAGCTTCCTGTTTTGCCTACACTCACTATCCACTGATTTCGGGTGATCTGTCTATCTGCACATACCCCCCCACCCTAGTACTGGGGTTACATGGATCCCATGGGTGCCAGGGATCCAAACTTAGATCCTCATGCTCATGTAAAAATCACTTTATAGCTGAGCCATCTTAGTCCTGTTTTGTTATACTTCTGAACACAATAGTATTTAGAGGCAGGGACTGACTTCAAATAGATCAGAAAATGCATGCTTGAAAAACAGTAACAGCACATATAGAGGTCAGGGAATCCAATTTGTTCAGGGAGCCTCCTCTGGAAGTAGACAATACTAAAGGCACCCATGAGTTCCTTTGGACTTGAGCCTCTTCAGATGGTTTGGAAGATGGACTGGTGTAAGGTGAATTGTCTCTACCATGTGAGTTTTCAATAGCCATGTAGACCTTTCTCAGGTCATTCAGAATACTAGATGGTGTGGGATAAGATACTGAGGGCTAAAATCCCAGCTTAGCATGCAGAGAAATTTTCTTTTGAGAGCACTTGTTTGGTTTGACTCTAAAAATAATTTAAAATTAATTATTTTTAGCTGGAAAATTTGTATTCAAGTCCCATCAGTGAGGTTCTTCCTTTCCATTTCTCCTGTGGTAACCCTTTAAGCACTAAATAACCACATCTGGGGGACTGACATAAATACCACATGACTGTAGAATCTTGACATTTGACACTGGGAGACTGAAGCAAGTGTACAGAAGTTTAATAAGAGGAGGGTGGTTCTGTAATGTAATGGTTATCACCTTCAATTAGTAAGAGGGCCTCAGGTGGCTACTCACCACGTTCTAGCCTGTCTATTGTTTAATATGCAATGAACTGATGAAAGAAATAGCTTGAGGAAAATGATCTTTCCTTTCAGAACCTGAAGAAAACCAAATCAGAAACATCTCAATAGTAGACAATGCATATTGGATGGACATCACTGAGTTTGCTTGCTCTAACCAGATGCTGATCACTGCCTAACGGATCACTCCCATCAGCTTCTGAACAAGATGGGCTTTGTGAGGAGAGTCCTGACACTCCCTAACCAAATTCAGAATAGTCACTTTCTTGCCTCAACATCCTGTCTCTCAACTTAACTGGTCTCTAGTGGAACGAGCAACTGGACTTGGACTTTGGCCTTCAAACCTTCAAAATTGTTGTACCTTTAAAAAAATGTTGTAATGCATCCACTAGGACTTTCAGAAGGCTGCTGAAAAGAGGTGGCGAGACAGGCATCCTTGCAGGCACTGTTCCTGATCTTAGCCAGAAAGCACCTAGATTTAAGCCATTAGGTATGATGTTAGGAGCAAAGGGAACCAGAATTTGGTTCACAACTGGATATGTAACTTCAACTCCAGGGGATTCAATGTTGAACCAGCCCCTGGGCTCTGTTTCAGAGTGTGTCTGCTTACAGATTTTGACAGTAATTTGCATATATATACCAAACAGGAATATGGATAGAGACCTAGATCTCCACATGCAGGGAATACTTTTTTTTTTAAGTCTCCATTTTAAAATGTTATTCTTGAGTTTAAACACATTGAAGAAAGCCTCATTGTAATAAGCACAAAGCTTGGGATACCTACTTACTATTTACAATTATGTTAAGTTCCATTTTACGCTAAGCAAGCATTCTATATATGTCACCAACTCAAACACATTATGTCACCAGTTGAAACACATATTTTGTATAACTTAGCCTGAAGATAAGCAACTCCTGTACATATTAAGGACACTTCTCATAGATGTTTAAGACTATTCCATTATTCTGTTACCTACACTTTTAAAGTTATCAGACCAACTGATTCCCAGGGTTAAGGAGGCAGAAATAGGTGTTTAACAAACAGGAATTTCTTGATGTTAAATCCTGATTCTCTTGTAATCCTGGAGCAACAGACGCCAAATTCCTTTTTGGTTCTATAACTTAACTATGCTCATCGTTACATAAATTTACAAATGGTAAGACTATTACCATTAATAACAAATACAAGGCACATGTAAAAGCTGATGAAACCCAAACAAATTTTGTATTTGAATTTGCAGCATATTATCAGGTCCTCATATCTCAAAATGTAATATGGTTATATAACATCATTAGAATAAGATTAATGAAGAGCTCATGAGAATTTTCTGTGCTTTTTTTCTCTTTGAGACAGGGTCTTGCCATATACCTAGCTGGCCTGGTACTTACTATGTAGCCCAGGCTGTCTTTAAACACATGGAAATATTGAGTCAGCCTCCAAAAATTACAGGCATGAGTCACCATGCTCAGCAAACTCTCTGTACTCACTGCAAATCTGTTGTTTTCATTAAAATATTTTTTGAAGACTTATATAGTCTACAACATATAAATTGTGAAACTCCAAACACCATGTGAAATATTCCTAAGCAAAAATGTCAATGTGCACTTCATAAATTGACAAATTTCTCCATATAAATACTAATTTGTACTTTTCCTAAAAAAATGTATATTAACTTAAAAAATCTATCAGTTTTTATACTAGTAATAACTGGATTTTTTTTCTTTTAAGACAAGGTCTCCAGGTAGCCCCAGCTGGGTCTGGAACTCACTGTAGACCAGGTTGGCCTCAATCTCATAGAGATCTGCCTGCCGCTGTCTCTGGAGTGCCAGGGATTAAAGGCATGTATCATCATACCTGGCTCAGGATGTCACTTATTAATGAAGGGTACTCTACAATATGTTGCAGCCTATGGGCTTTTCCCATAACACTACTCTGAAATAAAGTTAGTTCAGTTTGGGGATAAAAGTTATTGAACATTTAGTATGTCAACAGAACTTTTGCCATGAGTGCACTCTGTAGTATGGACAAGTGACTAAACATTTATAATATATTCATTTTATTCATGAATTCCCTCTTGCATGTGACTTCTGATGTACAATGAGGTTTGACTTTTGAGAGAAGGTTTTCCCACATGTGTTACATTCATACGGCTTCTCCCCTGTGTGTGATCGCTGATGTTTAGCAAGGTCTGATTTTCGGTAAAAGATTTTCCCACAATCATTGCACTCACAAGATTTCTCCCCTGTGTGAATTCTGTGATGTACTGTGAGGGATGACTTGTGACTAAAAGATTTCCCACATTCGTTGCATTCATAGGGCTTCTCCCCTGTATGTTTTCTCTGATGGAAAATAAGCCCCGACTTCACACAGAAAGATTTTCCACATTCATGACATTTATAGGGCTTTTCTTCTGTATGGATTCTCTGATGTACAGTGAGAGCTGACTTGTGGCAGAAGGTTTTTCCACATTCACTACACTGATAGGGTTTCTCCCCCATATGAGTTCTGTGATGCTGTGTGAGCTGGGACTTCTGGCAGAAGGTTTTCCTGCATTTGTTACATTCATATGGTTTTTCCCCTGTGTGTGTTCTATTATGCTTGGTCAGATAAGATTTGTTGTAAAATATTTTTCCACATTCATGACATTCATAGGGTTTTTCCCCTGTATGTGCTCTCAAATGTTGAGAGAGAGTTGACTTATGGCTGAAGAATTTCCCACATTCAGAGCATGTAAAGGGTTTCTCTCCTGTGTGAGTTCTCTCATGCATTGTGAGGTCTGACTTTAAGCAAAAGGCCTTCCCACATTCATAACAATTATAAGGTTTCAATCCTGTATGTGTTATCTGATGCCTGGTGAGCACTGACTTATGGTAGAAACTTTTGCCACATATACTACATACATACGGTTTATTCCCTATGTGAATTCTCCGATGCTGTGTAAGATGTGATTTTTGACAAAAGGATTTCCCACAATCTGGGCAACCGAAGGGCTTCTCCCCTGTATGTGTTCTCTGATGTACTGTAAGGTGAGAATTCGTACAAAAGGATTTTCCACATTCAGAACATTCATAGGGTTTCAACCCTGTGTGTGTTCTCTGATGTTTAGTGAGGTCTGACTTTTGGTAAAATGTTTTCCCACATATAGTACACTGGTAGGGTTTCTCCCCTGTATGTGTTCTCTGGTGCAATGTAAGGGCTGATTTATGGTTAAAGGCTTTCCCACACTGATTGCATTCATAGGGTTTCTCTCCTGTGTGTGATCTCTGATGCTTAATGAGGTTTGACTTCTCCCAGAAAGCTTTTCCACAATCACAACACTGAAAGCGTTTCTCTCCTGTGTGCACTCTCTGATGTCGTGTGAGATGTGACTTCTCACAGAAAGCCTTGCCACAGTCATTACACTGAAAGTATTTCTGTCTTTTATGAGTTTTGTGAACTTTTGAGAGACATAACCTAAAATTATTCTCAATTTCATTATGCTCATAATGTCTCATATAGATACCATCACGTTGGAAAGCTGTGGATTTCCCACACAATGGCTTATCACAGTCACTAAGTTCACAGTGATTCTCTTCAGAAAGAGATGTCTGAGGAAACACAAGGGATGAGTTATCACAGAAAGTTCTTCCATATTCACTGCATTTATAGCCTCTATCTTCTGTTCTTTTGTGTGGATTGAGCATTATTTTCTTTTCCAGGATGGTGTCCCGACACATATTATATTCAAAAATTTGCTCTAAAGTCTGCATCTTTTCATGCTGAACAGGGGTTGGATGATCACTGAGAACAATTTTATTTTTTAAAATTTCACTTTTCTCTCCAGTAAGGGTTTTCTCACATTTAATGTTGAACAATAATTTTTCACAGGAATTAAATTCATCAGGTTTCTTTCTTAAGTAAGTTTTCCTAATAAATAATTCTGAAATATTGTTGAACCTAATTCCATCTAAGTCATACTTACAGAGTATTTTTGTGGAAGGAAAAGACCTTATGTCCAAGTTAAATGGTTTTCCTCTTCCATTCCCATGCTCCTTAATCCGCATTTTGTTATTCATCAATGAAGCTTCCCACAAACAGTTACATGGATTTTCTTGGCTCCTGTCCTTCAAATGGCCAGCTTTGCAAAGTTCTAGGAATAAGAAAAATTAATCTTACCATAAAAACACTAACACATGTCTTATGGAATATCTCTCTACAAAATCCTATGTCACTGTTCACCATGGTTTCCTTTTGTCCAATTTCCAGGAATAAAAATAATTGCATGAACACATTTGATTTCCAATCCAGAAACAATAATCTAAGTCTCTCCAAGCAGTCATAAAAAACTTATACAGATTGGTAAAAGAGTTGGGAGAGATCTTATGCAAACATATATTACATGCTGCTTGTCTGCTGAAAATGCACTAATAAAGTTATTTAACAAAGCTTATGCTATTCCCATCATTTAAACTACATACTACCTACCTGACATGGGATGATCCTCCTAATGTTAACTACTTCCTTCCAGCCACTGTGACCTCTGTTGTTCCTAAAAAATACCAAGCACATTCCTGTCCAAGGGCTCACTCAGCAGTCACTGGTGGCCCTGCTAATAATGCAGAATTTTCAGTGCTCAAAATAATAATTTCCATCACCTTTCTATTCGGAGTTGACCTTATTGACATTCCCCTGACAGCTCTTAAAAGTAGAATACCCAATCCATATAAGATTGAATTAATTTCTTTGTTTTCACCATTTAAAAAATTTTCAAAAAGACAGAGTTCAAAAATTAGTCACTCAAGAAATGAGTACATCTAAAAACAAAAGGAATACAGGAAAATGAAAGTAAAATGGATAATTGAAACTTCTTTAAGAAAGACAGAGTAGCCAAGAATAACAGTAGTAACATGAGACGTGTGAGGTTCCTATAGGCAAGCACAGAAATGGACAATGTCTAAAAAACAAATCCAAAAATATGTGAGAGTAACATTTGGAGGTTTGATGTTTGAAGGACTAATGGAGCCATGGCTTAACACAGAGAACCTCAGAAAATTGTCACTGTACTCTCAGTAACAGACATATTACAGAGCAAAAGAAGTGTACAGTGACAAGGCTAATGCAGACCCTTTGTGAATGGCACACTTGGGAAACCCAGATCAAGGGTCCTGGGACTGTACACCAAAATCTGGCCAGCAGAATACCTCTAGACTACACGAAAGAGACTGTGAATCAAAAGCATGCTGTGCTCAGTGACGTACAAACCTGGTTCCAGTCTGAGTCGGCAGGAAAACACACATGCAAGTTCCAAGTATGTGCACCAGACATCATGAAATGAGAAGTTTAATGACCCAAATTAAAAACTCTATGGAAACTCTATGAAAACAGTATTAAGCCTGATACTAAAACCACATAAAGACACAATAAAAGAAAATTATATTTAAATCTCATTAATAAACACAGATGCAAATGGTTTCAATAAAGTATTTGCAAACAATTCAAGAATACATCAAAAAGATTGTTCACTATGATCAGGTTGGCCTCATTTCAGAGATACGGGGATGGTTCAACTGACACAAGTCAATAAATGTAATATATCACATAAATTTACTCAAGTACCAAAATCACATGATTATATCAATAGATGCAATAAAAGGCTTTTGACAAAATCTAATATTCTTCCATGAGAAAAGCCCTGAAGACACTAGGAATGGATGGAACATACTTCAGAATAATAAAGTCTGTATATGACAAACCGATAGCCAACATGATACAAAATGGGAAACACTCCAAGCACTACCACTAAAATCCAGAACAACACAAGGGTGCCCTCATTCTCTACTCTTATTCAACACAGTGCTTGAAGTCTTTACTACAGTAAGACAAGAGATGGTGATAAACAGACAAACAGGAAAGGAAGAAGTCAAAGCATTCTTGTCAACAGATGATATAATCTAGACTCTGAAGACTCCACAGGAAAACCCTTACCTCTGATAAGTACTTTGAGAAAAGTGGCAGGATATAAACTTAACATTAAACCCAAAGAGCCTTCCTATACATAAATAGAAAACATGCTGAAAAAGATATCAGGGGGAAGAACATTCATAACTGCCTCAAAAATGGAAATAAACCTAACCAAAGAATAAGACACCTACAATATTAAGATTTTAAGGCACTGATGAAAGATACTGAAGAAGACACCAGAAGACTTCCCATGCTAATGGACTGGAAGGATTATCAGTGTGATCACATTCTATTGCCATCTTTACAACGG